CTATTAGGTGGAATAATTTGTCGGAATAATGTCGAAATTGCAGCTATATTAATAAATATATGGATATATTTCTACACAATTGCTGTCAGAATGTATCGTTCTGTTTGGGAAGCAGATGGAAACATGTAGCATGACGCATTTGTGTACACACACGATACACGTGGATTTTATTTTGAAATCAGAAGTTTCAGAAAGACGACAGAGAGACAGTTTCAACGTAGATATCAAAAGCCTTTATAATGTTGTTTTCAGCTGTGTTTGGAGTTCGTCTTTTACAGAATTAATTATTTTTTGCTGTGACTTCCACATTTATCACTGAATTTATCACACGATCTCCTTCCTGCACTCTCTGTGGACCGGAGCGGAGTGGAGTCTGTATAAATTGAGACACAAACGAACAGCTGCGACCTGCGCACCGCAGCGCAGCAGAGCGGAGACGCATGTAGTGTAAATTACGGGTTACAGGCACCAGGCTTTTATTTAGAACWTATGTACAGAAGAAGTTCTAAATCTGTGATGAACATAAACAAATACATGTTCTTCCTCCAGCTTTTCGTATACTTGTCTAAATAACTCAGTGTTCCTACACTTTCGACCATATAATAAACATGTTATATCGCTAACCGACCAGTTTTGCTTCCCTGACACATAAGCATCTATCCAGGCAGAAATAAGTCAGGYTGACATAGGATGCACAGTCAGGTCAGTTTTCCACAACCACAATACCATGATCAGAATAAACGTTTAGATRCATGCTGTTTGGATTATCAATCAGCATAAACCACCTGTCTCATTCTGATTRCAAATTCATTCCAATTGAGCTACAACAGATCAAAATTCAGGCATTGACATGACACATTTTTCATCTGATTGGGTATTTTTTTCCAACACCTTATGTCCATGTAGACATAGCTAATGTGCAGCAGTAGCCGACATCATATTGGGCCAAACAGCCYGGCCCGGATAAAATCACRGGTCTCAGGGTTCCAGAAATCTGGGTGGAATTGGGCCATAAGGACTAATGCAAACACGCTGAACCCGGGTTTGAAGCCAGGCTGGCCTAGAGAAAACCTGTGCTTGGTGGGTGATAAACAGTCAACTAAAGAAATACCTTTTCATGGAGCCCATATCTGTTGACTCATCCTCCTGCAAGTGTCTGTAGACGTGTCCGGTCGTTCTGGTTCCCTCAAGGAGACTGGTGGATATTTTGGGTTTCCCTCTGGAGATGGGTGGGGTTCTGAACAGGCTGACCTCTCTGCGYGACAGGGCTGGACTGAGCGAGAGGGAGCTGCTCCTGCAACCAGAAGGCAACAGAAGAAATCACCAGCTGAAACAACAGTTTTGCAAAAGTCGTCTCCAAACAGCACTAAGAAATTCTTTTTTATCCCATCAGACGCTGGTTCTTTTCTGCATTTATGGAAGTAAAAAGACCTGGATTTCTGAGGCTTGAGTGTAAAAATTAAATTAGAAGAGTTACATAAATGACATCATTCTTGAAGCACATGACAGAGGCATGCAAAAAGAAAAGTAATTCACAAGTGAGCAAATACATTTACATAAGAATTAAGTAATGTGTCATAGCTAAAACAAATACAAAGCAATATAAAACAGAAAACTAGGACTGCAAACATGCTAGCGGGGTTTTTTGTGCTCTGAGCAAAATGCTAATTTTGGTTAATGAATATTGTTCTATTCTGAGCAACATTCTGAGAACTTAACTGCATTTAATTTTCCTTTATGCAAATCTGTAAACGTGTGTTTTGAAATAAACAAAAAATTCCTTTTATTTTATTTTTTTTCCTTCTGCTGACCTGCTGGTGCAAAAACATTTTAAATTATAAAACACACATGTAGCTTCCAGAGCAAAAATGAATTCTTTCATGTCAGACATAATTAATTGCCATAGTGCAAAATAAATGAATGATACTTGTTAATAACCTCGTTTTTTCAGCTTTTAATAAGACATATCAGTGAGTGAGCGTGGGCAAGGATGGGAAAAAAGTGACGAATGAATAATATCAGTATAACTTAAGAAAGTATATTTAAAKATGCTAAGCCAATACTAGCAATTTAACTAACTGAATCATATTTCTATGTAAAGAGCAGCTCCCGTGGATAAACATCAAGAGCCTAAAGCTGAGCTAAATCATTCCTTTTACTGAACTTTAAACAGTATTTGTTCCACTATACGAGGTAACACAAAAGTGACCCGCATATCCCGCTGCTGTCAAATAATGGAAGCCACAGTCTCTCTTTCTAGGCACGCTGCTCTTAAATTTTTCTGAGCACAGTCGGAGGTCGACTTCAAAGCGGATCCCCGGGAGTCTGCAGCAGTAAAACGACGACATCAAATGTGAATCAAAGTTCTGCTCCACTGTTTTACAATCTGTATTACAAAGCTGACGTGAGCTCACGTCGCAGGAACACACCGCTGCGTCGCACGAGGGACTGTAGAACACAGATCTAAATAATTATCAGATTCTGTCGCAGGCCACGGTATGAGTTTTCCAAAGTTCACCTAATTGGGCTAGTTAGCAAGTAACAAAAACTGGACATATTCCTGCCTCCCAGCTCTCAAATAACTTTGCATAATTTGGTAAAGCACAGTGTAAATGTGCTGGATGCATAAGTTGGTGATTTTTTTTTATTTCTTATGGTTGCTTGAATAATGACCAACATATTTATACTCTGAACTGAACCATTTTAAAAATTAGCTTCTGTACAAAAAGTGTTTTTATAGTAGGAGACTGTGTGAATAAAGTTTTGATAATAGTGGCTGTGAAAATTATATATAAAGTAAGTTAACACTGACTTCACTGTCAGTGACACTGTCAAGTTCTACAGTAAATAAAGCAGATTTCAATTCAATAAATCAACCATTGCTGAGGATTAGTTAGTAGTATAAGCTCAACAGACGTGCAGTTCCACCAGGTGTTTGCTAAATGTTGTTGATGCTAGTCTGGAGAAGCTGAGTGGCCGGAGCTCGGCTGGGGACTGAGCTCCAGGGAGGAGCTTTGGGTAAAGAGGCGGTGCTTTGTGCCAACAAACGTTTAGCTCCAAGAGATTCAAGGATTCAAACATGCACGAATGAGTCAAAGCAACACTCTTGGTGTGTCTTTGGGAGGAAATTACATGACAAAGTTGATTTATAAATATTAATATTAGTCATAAATTTACACCGCAAGGTACTATCCACATCAAATTTGAGTTCAAGTTAACTTACAAAAATTGGAGACATTTTTTCTGTTTTAAACTATAAAATAGACCAGGGGTGTCAAACTCATTTTCACCGAGGGCCACGTGAGCATTATGGTGGCCCTCGAAGGGCCAGTTGTAATGAACTTTGATGTTTCATGTTTAACTTTGACTAAACAGTGTTTTAACACGTCCTCTTTTAAACACTGATAAGAACTAAG